TCGAGGCTAAAACAGCACCTGGACATGGATGGCTGGTGCCTCTATAAATAGATCATTGATGGTCCGGTCCGGTTATTCTTGATTTTTAGAAAATGGACAAGTAGGCCTATGTGTTTCTGTCGCATAATTCACGAGATAATGTAGATTCTTCATTATGTTCTTTATATGATAAATATATATGTCAAGCACAGTCATTTCATAGCAGCTGTGCCGTTTTTAATGGAGGGAGAAAGAAGGAAAAAGTGGTTGTGATCGATCGCTATTGTTGAAATATTATATTATGTCATAGTCTTTCCACTTTTGTAGTTGCTTGTTTGCCTTCAATCAATTTCTTGGCATGTACTTGGTGTACCTCTTCCTCACGTCCAGAGTGTATTTCCAGAGGTGTTTATTTTTCAGATAATATCGGACGACGGAAATCCGGATTTTGTCCCCCCCCCCCCTCTCTGTCCCAGTCTCTCTCTCTCTCTGTCTGTCTCTCTCTCTCTGTCTGTCTCTCTCTCTCTCTCTCTCTCTCTCTCTCTCTCTCTCTCTCTCTGTCTGTCTCTCTCTCTCTCTCTCTCTCTCTCTCTCTCTCTCTGTATTTCTCTCTCTCTCTCCCTCTCTCTCTCTCTCTCTCTCTCTCTCTCTCTCTCTCTCTCTCTCTCTCTCTCTCTCTCTCTCTCTCTCTCTCTCTCAAATATATCTCTTTTTCTTTTGTAACCTGACGGTACCTCAGTATTTTTTGTTTACTTCTTTGGTTTTTTTCTTGCCTTCACTTTAACTTAAACAATCGGAACATGTCCTGCTATTTTTCCATCCCCACAAAAGTCTGTACTCTGTTGTGCCTTCCCCGCTTCCAACTCCAACGCGGTACACACGTTCCTGGTACTGAATCTGGCGAAGTCCCTGTGCCGTGTTGCTTCCTTACTTCCTCTCGGCTTTGACTGCTCCCTTTCTCCAGACTCTACTCGTCATCAGGTCCAGTCTGTGGGGGGAATAACAATGGAGCGAACTGAAGGAATTTTTAGAAAGAAAATTGTGCTCCGTGTTAGTGTTAGAGCTGGGCGAAGAGTCGATTCCGGCGATTAATACTAAAGAAGTTAAGTTCCGTCTCCTTTTTTCGTAGACCAACGGTTGCCAGTTATTTTTATCATTAAAATCCTCTTTTTGAAAAAGAATTTATATTTGAAAAAAAAAAAGAAGTTGATGCTTCGTAGTGTTCCGAAATCAAGGTTATCCTAAATCCTGAAGATGTTCGGCACCAACCAGGTAACCACCGGAAGAAAAAAATCACATCATTAGAATGTAAGTAATTGGGTTCGGAGTCGATTCCTACGATTCCTAGCTTTCATTATCGGGAACCTAGCCGCCCAGCACTACCGCGCATTGCCTTAAAATTATTAAAATTGTGTGTTTGCAGACTGCCATATATATAATATTGCAATAAAGAAAATATGATTTGCTGTTGGTGCCTGTTCAGTGTCTATTTGACTTCAAATACAATTTGCAGTTTTATGTCTGTCATTCCTTTTTTTTTTAAAGCGAGGAAATATTGCTAAATTTTACAAAGAGAAATTGTTGTGAAACAAGTTACATGTAAAGGAGCTACTAAGTACAGTGTGTCATGTTCTAACTTAAAAAGGCAGATGATGTTCTTCTACATGTCCATAACTCAAAGAAAACGTCTTGCCTTGATGTTTCATATATGACTGGATTTTAGTTTTGGTTTATTCTCCCTTGGGTGTTACCTTTGTCTAATGAAGAGAATGCTTGTAATAAACCATTGGATTTTTCCAGAGGTGGTTTTGTGTTGAACTTTAATCAAACTCTTGCCTTGATGGTTTTCCAGTTTTTGTTTGCAAGTGAGATTTTTTTTTAAAGAAGTGAAATAGTGTGTATGTTTGTCATTTTGGTGCTTGGCTTGCTTGATATAAAAACAAAGTGAGAGTTTTTTCGACAGAGAAGAAATCACATGTGCATGCTGCAGGATTGCACTTATCTTTTTCCCCCCTGTAATTGTAAGTAGTGTGAGGTAGGTGTTTTACGCCCCATCGACACAACTTATGCGGGTGGTTGAAGAACGCCACTGTAGTTCCTACTTCTTTATTTTCCCTCTGTTGTCTGTTTTACTTTTTCAAAGCATTAAGTAAGATATTAAATGACCATTAGTGTGTTGATGTGCTTCTCTTGACTTTACTCAAACAAAGACAAACGAGCACTACAATCTGTTCCCGACATTTTATGGTGCATATCATTACATTGAGTCTGTCTTTCTGCCCCCCCAGCCCATTCAACTCCTTTGTATTCTTTTCTTAACTGCAGTCCGGGAGTCCTTCACAAAAGTCACGTGTCGTCACATGATCGGCCAAAGTGACCCGCCACTTCCCAAGGGATGTCACTAAAATTATCAAGGAAAGGAGATGATTGCATCCCTTCCTCCCTTTGCAAAGGTTCATGTAAACGCACGCTCCGTATAAA